AAAAATGAAAGGTAAAGCTCTATCATGCAAAGAAGAAGCCATATCTGAGCATGATCCAGAAGAGCCAATGTCTTTTCTGGGCCAAAGCTCAATTAAAATAGTCTGTTGCAAAGTGGAAATTTGTTCGGTGGTCAGAGGAATCAAAATTTAACAGTCTTTTTGACAAGCATGAGCACTGCAAACTCAGGACTAAAATAGAGAGGGACCTTCTGGCTTGTTATCAGCACTTCAAAAGCCTGCATCTCTGATGGTATGGGGGTGCATTAGTGCATATGGAATGGGCAGCTTGCACATCTGGGAAGGCACCATCAATGCTAAAAGATATATCAAGGTTTTAGAGCAGCATGTACTCAGGAAAAATGGGACAACATTCATCTCTCAAAACTTCAGCAACTGGTCTCCTCAGTTCCCAGACATTTACAGAGTGTTGTTAAAAGAAGAGGGAATTCTGCACGATGGTAAACATGGAGTTGTCCCAACTTTTTTGGATTTGGGACTGCACTTTGCCAGCTTGTTTTCCTGTACCAAATTTTTTTGAGATGTCATGCTGCCATCAATGTTCAAATTAGCTTATTTTCTTTCTTAAAATGGTAGATTTTTCTCAGTTTACACATTTGATGCGTTTTCTATTTTCTATTGAGAATAAAATATGTGTTTATGAGATTTTCAGATTATTGCAATCTGTTTTTATGTAGATTTCACACAGTGTCCCAAGGTTTTTGGAATTGGGACCAATGTGGAAGCTTACTGGAGAAAACAATGATCTGAAAAGCTTGTCGCTCTTGTTCCAGTTGCACAAGCTAAGCTGGTACTGGAGGTGTCTGCCATGCTACCCCCTGTCTTGCTCCATGACTAAACACAAGTAGTCCCTGAAGATGCATAGTTGTGTTTAAGGACCTCAGAACCACCAGCAATATCTGATGGGTCTGGAATGAGTCTGTACTTTCTAGCACCTTTATGTTTAATTTCATTGATAAATGGCTCATATATGGGCTCCTTTAACATTTTATCTTAAAGAATAACTGAAGGCAAAATGTTTTTTTTTTTTTTTTACATTTTAGAAGGAGAGCTGGTAGTGGATAGGGATTAGAACACCTGTCTGGTTTTATTTGTTTCCCCATTGGTGAGATTCACCCTCTCAATTTGTCCTGGTGACCATTACCTATGAAAGTCAAAGTTAAAAAGTTGAAAGAAAAATGTCAAATTGTTAGTGCTCATCAGAACAGGAATAGAGAGGAAATCTTCCAATGGGGGCAAAAGCTCTGAAAACCCTGGTGACTTCCAGCTATGGCTATGGCTAGTTCTACTGTAAGTGTATGCATAGTCAAATCTTCTTTTCAGTTTTGAATAGAGTAGGGAAGGATAAAAACCCCAACCAGTTTATTTTTTTGTGGTCTTTTTCCTCAGTTGGGGAGACATATGTTACCTTTCTATTCTGCAGCAGAAACAGCTGCAAAGCATGCGGGGAATCCAGGAAGTTGTGGAAAGAGATGACCAGACAGGCAGAACTCACAACATGAAAGGAGATTTTCATGGAAGTTTATATTGGATTATGAAAAATAACTATTGTTTGTATTGCTATTACTATGCTGATGTTATAAAATGAAAGTGTATGCTGTGAGCATAGATTTCCTTTAACAATAAATTTGCTCTTCTGCAGAAAATGTATCTATTTTCTGGGCAGCATGATTTCACTGTTTTATGTGAGCTTATCAGACTATGGTGTACTAGTTAGTTAAAAAGTAACTGCAGGTGTGTCAGCTGTGGAATTCTTCCTAGAGATATTGTTCTGTTTCATGAAACGTCATTCTTCCTGGAATAGTTGTAATACACAGCTCACACATTTCCCAATCACTTGGAATACACTGTTTTCACAATTCTCCAATGAGATCATTAGTTCTGTGTATAGCAGAAAAACAGTCTTGGACTGAATGTCCAAATGATAAGCTCAGGTATGTTTATTAAACATTTTTTTCAAGAACTACATGCATGGTGTTGTGAAGATTTCCATTAAACAAGCATTGTTAGTTGTTCAAGACAGATTTTGGAAACACTTAGTCCTTATTTATACATGCAGAGCTGTTTATTGCCCCTCTATAAAATGATTCACTTTACATTTGATATGTAGTTCAGAGGTGATGTGTCCTCTCCTGTATGCCCCTTGCAGAGTGGTTGCAGCATGGTCTCGTACACATGAATGATCCATGTTTGGTAGTGCTTTCACTTGCCATATGGGACAGGTTGTATAATGTGCTTGCTGTAAGTGCGGCTTAGTGGTTGGAGGGGAGATTCAACTGTCCCTTAGCCATTTGCACAGGCTTAACTAGAACCTTCAGAGCCCTGGTGCAGGAAACCATGAAAGGCCCCCCTGACCCCAGGCTGGGCTTCTCTCCAAGCCTAGTGGCGGAATGCCAGGGCCCAGTCACAATTGTGACCTTTGTGATCCTCGTAGTTCTGCCACTGGTGTCAGTAGTTTTTTATTTTATTTTAAATTTTATTTATTTATTATTTTTACAATATCATTTTTTACAATGTTTCTAAGAGCCTCATTGGGGGGCTTTTGGAAGATATTGGGGGTCTAAACAGACCTCTGATGTTCCACCTTTGAGACAGAGAAGGGAGCCAAGAAACAGCATGGGGGGACTGGGAGAGAGTACAGGGGCCCAGGGGCAGAAGAAAGAGGCTGGATAGGAAGGTGCGACGGGGGGGCGGCATATAGAGGAGCCGAGCCGACTCCTTCATTTTCCTCCTGCTAGGGTCAAATCCTCAGACTCACTGCACAGACTGAGAATTCAGGTCAGCTGGTCTCTGCTTCTGATGAGGACCCTGTTGAAAAGGGAGAATCTGATAGGGACACTGATGTATAGGGGAACTCTGAAAGAGACCCTGATGTAAGAGGGACTCTAATATGATGGGGGGGGGGGGCTCTTCTCATACGAAGTTTTTTCTTGGGATGTGTTAATTCATTCATTTACATTTGATTAATTCATATTTAAAATATACAATGTGGCCCTTGTGATGAAAAGTTTGGAGACCGCTGCTATAAAGAATAGGCAACAACGTAAGTTACAACAAAGGTGAGCTTGCCTGGCATACACTGAACTGTAGATGTATATGATGGATAAACCATGTATTTCCCAATAAACCCAAGTCCTTTAAGGCCCATACACACAATGAGAATATCGGAAAAATGAACATCCATTTTTTTTTTTGCATGCTAGTTTCATATCGAACGTGGAGAGGTTACTATAGTTACAAAGATTCTTGTATGATAGAATAAAAATTTGAAAGTGATGTAATGTATTTTATTGTATTTGTATTGTATTTTTGTACGAAAACTGATGAAAATCGTACGATCTGGTATCCTACGAGAAAAAGTTTCGTGCTTGTCCCTTTGAATAATTTTGGACGAAAGCTGTGTGTACCATACAATGTGTGTGTGTATCATACAATCACTTCAAAAGCAGTATTTTGCGTATGATTCTCTGATCATGTGTACTAAGCTTCAGTAAGGAACCCTTAACCGTCTGAGTGGGCTGAACACAGATGACTGGGACAGCTGCCTAAACCTAGATAACATACCACTTTGAAGTGTTACTCTATGAGAGTCCTATTGTTGGTTAGAAATATTAGAGGAAAATAGCTTGAAGGCTATGTCATGAGGACATAAGAGTGTAAGTATATAACCTTAATATACAGCTAAATCTAAAATGCATTCAAATGACCTATAAAACATAACAGGGGAAATTATCAGCAGGAATTAGCAATAACAACTACAAAATGTATTAAAATAATTGGGGACATATTTAATTGAAAATAAGTATTAAAGAGATATACATTTATTTTATTATATTTTGCAGTTTTAGTGCGATTGGTAAATCCATATATATATTTTATTATTTTTGCAGAAAAATCTTGAGGTGAAAGTCTGTGTTTAAAGCTGAACTCCATGCAGATAGAAAAGACACGAGCGGCTGCAGCTATGTATTCTTTAATAAATAAGAAATATATTTTTGAATGCAATTAGTGTAGAGCTCTTGCATTAAACTTAACCTTCTGGCTGAAAGTTATAAATATAAAATACTCATCTGCAATATTTTATTTTTATTTTATTAAATAAAAAAAACAATTTCAGTGCTGAAAATTATAATGTAAGAAAAAAAATATACACAAAACATTAAATAATTCCTGAAAGTTCCAATATTGGCAAATCCAGCTGTATGACGACAAATGAGTGTATGCATTGGTATTTAAACAAGGATAGCAGAGGTTTGTGGCTGCAACCAGTTCCCTACATTGAGGGCCTATAGGGGATACATAGCTATATCCAAAATCCCTCTTCATCTCCATCACCTTGAGTATGCGTGCTGCTAAATTGCTTCTCCTGGAAGAGAGAGGGCATGCTGTGCAAAGTGGAGGGGATTACAGGCGTTAACGCAGCCTTTTTCAACCAGGGTGCCCAAGCACCCTGGGGTGCCTTAATGTTTCTTCAGGAGTGCCTTGGCAAAATGTCTAAAAATTGGCCAAAACTTGTACACAAGCCAGTGGATGGAGCAAGCCTGCCTTTTAGTTACACAAAGCCACAGGTTTTCATTGTGCACCATTACAACCTTCTAGCCGCCTGCATCGTGGCAACCAATGAAATCATAAGTTGATAAGGAGGATCTCAGCTGCCTGCACAGCATCTTAGTTTGGCCCTCCCCTGCCCCTCTCCATCAGTGCTGGGGTCACGTTAGCTCAGTGATGGAGAAAAACTGCGGGAGAAGAGAAACACTGGAATACTACTCAGTACCAGTGTGCAAAAGTGTATATGCTTAATAATAAATTAAAAGAATAAATTACCTCTAATGTTGGGTGTCCTACATGTGTGGATGTTGCTGCCATTAGAATAGTTTTTCACATTTTAGAATGGGGTGCATCAAGACTGTCCATAATTTTAAAGGGTGCCTTGAGAGAAAAAAGGTTGAGAAACACTGTGTTAGGGGTTGGGGATTAAACCCCAATTTTCACATTTTAGAATGGGGTGCCCTTTTAAAGTTATGGACAGTCTTGAGGCACCCTATTTTAGAACGGGGTGCCTCAAGACTGTCCATAATTTTAAAGGGTGCCTCAGGACTGTCCATAATTTTAAAGGGTGCCTTGACGGAAAAAAGGTTGAGAAACACTGTGTTAGGGGTTGTGGATTAAACCCTAATTTTCACATTTTAGAATGGGGTTCCCTTTTAAAGTTATGGACAGTCTTGAGGCACCCTATTTTAGAACGGGGTGCCTCAAGACTGTCCATAATTTTAAAGGGTGCCTCAGGACTGTCCATAATTTTAAAGGGTGCCTTGACGGAAAAAAGGTTGAGAAACACTGTGTTATGGGTTGGGGATTAAACCCTAATTTTCACATTTTAGAATGGGGTTCCCTTTTAAAATTATGGACAGTCTTGAGGCACCCCATTTTAGAATGCTGTGCCTCAAGACTGTCCATAATTTTAAAAGGTGCCTCAGGACTGTCCATACTTTTAAAAGGTGCCTCAGGACTGTCCATAATTTTAAAGGGTGCCTTGACTGAAAAAATGTTGAGAAACACTGTTAGGGGTTGGGGATTAAAATGGTACTAAATGCAAAATCAAAAAATGACATATGTGATGCAGTCTGTCACTAGCATTAACAAAGGACTCCCCACTGTTTCAACTTCCTGTAACAAACCTAACTGTGCAGCAAAAGTGGAAGCTAGAGGGTTGACACAAACTTTTTCACACTGACAGGTGTGCTTACAATGGGCAGCTTGCATTACATTTGGTTAAAACTTTTGCCAAAAGGAAAAAAAGTGTCTATAGGTGCTAAAAAAATGTTGGCTGGAGTTTGACTTGTATCTGTTAGCCACTTATCAAAAATCCATCTAAATCTATTAGTCCATCCAACACTACAATCTTCACAAAGTGCTGCTTCCAAGGGTGTCTCAGGTGCTCCTCCATGGATAAAGTGTATTACTGGCTGGATCTCCAGGTGAAAATAAAGACAAGCAAAAACTTAAAACAGAAAACGAATGCAGCCACCACATGTAATGATTGGTAAATTGCAAATGATTATTTTTTTTTGTTTAAGGGTTTAGATACATTTTAAGGGAAAAGGATTATGAAGATTGGGGTTTTAGGTAGAGGATGTAATAGAATGGCATGTTAGCTGCAAGTAATAGCAGCTTAGAGCAGTTATAGGACTGAAGGTCAGAGTTCTTGCTCATATCTTCCCTACTGGGTGTCCAGATCTATATCAAGTTTGATAATATAGGCATATATCAGATTTGGGTATTGGCATAAAGACAAGACTTAGAGAGGTTTGTGTCAGTGAGGTGGATTTAGCAAAGGAGCAGTAGAGACTATTCACTTTGCAAGTCAATGTTCACTTTGTAAAAGCTTAGTAAATAGAGTGAAATTGTGTTCAATGCCAGTAATATACAAGGAAAAAAATAGCTTTTTTATTAATTTTTTTTTGCACATGGTTGTAAGCAAAATTTCACTATATTTAATAAGTTCAATGAACATTTACTTTGCCACATTTCTACTAGTTTAGTAAATAAACCCTAGATTATAGCTTGTTTAGCTGTATTTCCCCTGTGGATTACAGGACAGCGGTTTGTTGTGCACTCCTGTGACCCATTTTCAGCCGACAGCAGGCTAAAGCTCGCTGTCGGCTGGCGTCACGGAGCTGGCCCAGGCTGGGGAAGAATCTCGATCATCCTGATCAGCAGTGTCTGATCGCTCAGTTCTCATACTTAGAGCCGGCGGGGGACAGATGCAGCATCTGATCGATGCTGCATCCACCTAGGTAAGTATGATATAAATTAAAAAACAAAACCCATGCTTCACTTTTAACCTTTCTACAGTATATGTTCATATGTCTTATTTGCTTTATTGTTGCAGCTTTAGTTAGTAGCAGGTGTTACACATTTTTGAGCCAACCGTGGTTTTGTTCAGCCAATTTCCTTCAATAGCTGCACAAGGGAGCGATATCTCACTTTTAGAATACCGAATCTTGTTTTCTCAGCTTATTCCACATATAACAACTAACAGTCCAAGAATTCTGGATGGCTCTAATACGATAACAGGGACGTTCTGACCATTTGGGGTTTTGAAGCCTGTGTAGCTACAAAGAAACACTCTGCACTATTGGCAAGATGTTGAATTGTTTTAAACAATGGTCTAATTGCACAAATGTACTTGCCTTGCTGCAACAGTCATGACCTAACCTAATTTATTTTGCTAAACTCTATTTATGAAAGAATCACAAGCAGCTGAATCCAAAGGAACAAGTTGGAATATGCATAACGTAAGAGAAAAAAGTCTGAAGTGGACATACTGCATTCGGAATCAGCATAATACTATTATAAACAGACTTGGAATAAATAAATATTAATCCATATGAGATACAAAACAGATGACTAGCACTAGAATGACATTTATCTATCTTGACAACAAGGAGGAAAAAAGGTATGCATATTGCTACATGGCATACTCAGTACTTAATGCATATTAAAAGAAAATGATGTCCTTTCTAATAGTATACGAAGCTAAACATATGTGTATTTTGGTATTTAGTTTATGCTGTTTTATGTCAGTGATGCTACAACATGAATTATGTATTCACTAGTTAACACAATCAGATAACAAGAAGAGGCTTATGCGCTAACAAAGCAGAAGTATGAAGCTGTACAAAACATCAAGAGCATCCCTTCATGGGAGGTAGATTTATGAAATATGTGACAAGAGCAGTGCCAGATTACCAAATAGACAGAGTAGGCACTGGCCTAAGGGCCCCACGACAATGGATCAAAATTAATGGTGCACGAAATAAAAATTCTGGTGCCGAAAACCGAAAATTCAAAATGCAATTGTATTTAATGGTTTTTTGGGTTTTTTTTTCACTGTCCCTTTAAAAAATGTTTTAATCACTTTTTATTCTTATCACAAGAAATGCATGCATCCCTTGTGATAGAAATAATTAGTGACAGGTCCTCTTTATGGAGAGATATGGGGTGAATAAGACCCCACATCTCTCCTCTGCAATGTAAAGCATTGGATCAAAAAAAGCATTGATCTAGTGCTTTAAAAAAAAATAAAAATGGCTGGAACCAGAAGTGACTAAAACACTGAAAAACTCATGTTTTTTAACTTGACTTTACATAGCTAACGTTACCAGTGTTATTAAAACGCCCCATGTGCATGGAGCCTGAAGCTTTCATAAATTGTTTACAAAAGATAGAAAAAATTAATCAACTCCAAGAAATGAAAACCTTACATTAAAGTCGCTATAGAGAAAATACTGTATTAATGTAATGTACCCAATAACAACTTAAAAGTGCATAAAACATCATATTCTTCAGCTGTCAGTTTCAAAAAACTTTGGTGCAATCTACGTACATGTAATGTACAGTTGTGATGGTCGTCTCCATCTAGCAGCCAACATGCACACTACTTAGTCCAATGTTATCCCACTAGAGCTCACAAACATGAGAAAACTCCAGTAACCTGCCAGAGGGGGACACCAAGGTTCTGACTCCCTAGGGGCCTTCACAGAGTTTATTCTGGCGCTGGACAAAAGTTCAAGTGATTCTAAAGGCTTATTTTTTTTTTAATTAACAAACATATCTATATTTACCTGCTGTGTGCAGTGGTTCTGTACAGAGCAGCCCAGGTCCTCCTCTTTCACGGGGTCCCCCGCCAGCACTTCTGGCCCCCCCGCCTGTCAGGTGCCCCCACAGCAAGCAGCTTGCTATGGGGGCACTCGCTGCTCTCTGTGTCCATTCACGCAGGGAGCCGTGGCTCGGCCCCGCCTCCTCTCTCTTCTCATTAGCTCACTGGCTGTGATTGACAGCAGTGGGAGCCAATGGCTCCTGTTTCTGTCTTAGCCAAGGAGAAGAGGGAGTCCCGGCATAGCTGAGACTCCATTGCACATCGCTGGATCAAGAGGGGGCTTAGGTGAATATTAGAGGGGCTGGAGGCGCTGCTACACACAGGTTTTTTACCTTCATGCATAGAATGAAGCTTTTACAACCACTTTCAGCTTTAGTCATCTCCATGAATGGGAGGTTGAACCCAGCTCATATGGTCCCCCATCAAACCCTGATATACTAAAGTGTGAAACAATGTAAAGCATGATGCAGTAAAGTGGATCTGGGCCTGATTTACTAACGTTACACATGTTGTGAGGCAAACTAACCTCTATTAATTTCAAGCACCTAATCATCCACAGGTAAATTTAAAGTTAAACTTCAGGCAGATATATAAAAAAAACTGATATATCATTAAATACAAGCAGTGTAAGTACCTGAATTTGACCTGGTATCAGCCTGTTGCAGTCCACTGTACAGCAGAACAGGACTGGGAGAAGGAGAAACAACACATGGAGGCAATCAGATGTGCTGCGTTGGTCATCTACTGATATGCTGATAAATGATAGCAGATTGACAAAGCTTCTCCTATCATTGTCAAACCACATGATGGACATATGAGAGTGACAGAAGTTTGTTGGCACATGGCGAAGGCAAGGGAAAGTGACACTTGAAATGCTGTTAAAATTGATTTTTTCATTTCTGTAAGGGCTTGTGTATACTGCCTATTTATTTGTAGCTGTACACAGATTATTGTTAGGTAAAAGTTTTCAGCACTCATTCACACAGATGGTGAACATTTTCTGTGATTTTGGAAAGGTTTTTTTTTGCATGTTTACACGTGTTTTTTGGATGTTTTAAGCTTAAAGTGAATGTAAAGGCAGATTTTTTAAAAATAACAAACACATTATACTTACCTGCTCTCTGCAATGGTTTTGCACAAAGCAGCCCTAATCGTCCTCATCTCGAGTCCCCAGCAGGCGCTCCTGGCCCCTTCCTCCTGCCAAGTGCCCCCGCAGCAAGCAGCTTGCTATGGGGGCAACCGAGCTGCTGCTCTGTGTGTTCATTCACACACAGACGCGGCTCAGCTATGCCCCTGCTCTCTCCTCATTGGCTTACTGGCTGTGATTGATAGTAGAGGGAGCCAATGGCTCCTGCTGCCGTCTCAACCAAAGAGAAGGGAGAAACCCGGGACAGCTGAAGCGCTCGTACACATCGCTGATCGAGATGGGGCTCAGGTAGGTGTTGGGTTGGGGGGGACTGCAGCACACAGAAGGCTTTTTACCTTCATGCATAAAATGCATGTAAAGCCAATATAAAGCTAGTTACAAGGAGAAGGACAGGGAACAAGCTGTGCAAAAAAATATGTGTTAAGCGCTTCCATTGAAATCAATAGGAGCCAAAAATGCACAACTCTGCCCCAAAGAAGCTCATGGACCTATCCTGAACTTAGAACACCAAACTTCAAGTGACATGATTCTCAAGTGTGAACAGACACATTTATATTTTGAATGGAAATCTTGATGGTAAACTGGTATTAAATCCAAAACCAAAAAATGGAATATATTGAAGCTTACCAATCATTAGATGTGGTGGCTACATTTCTTTTCTTTTTGTAATGCTTTTTCTCTCTGTTTTCACCTGGTGATCTGGCCATTAACCTCCCTGGCGGTATT